CAGACTTTGAAGTCTGCGGACGATGAGCAGCTGCAGCAAGCATCGACCGACAACGCGTCCCAGCCAATCGAAGGCCTCCGACGGGGAGAGCACGAGCGAGCAAACGAGAGCGCGGGTAAGCAAGAGCGAGCAACTGGAGAGAGAGAGAGGGAGCCAGATACAGAGGAACAGAGAGTTCATACATACGTACATAGGTACGTATGTATGTATGTACGAACGTACATACATACGTACATACATACATACATGCATACATGCATATATGAATACAAGTACATGTACGGTACATGCCGAACAGTCAGTCGCCTTGCAGATTCTTTTTCGAGTGGTTATCATATAGATTGTTTCAGAGGAGCACGTAAGTGAGTACATGTGTATGCATGCATACTGCATACTTGTATTCGTAGACACATGGTGGATGCACAGCGTTTTTTGCCTGCATGTGCGTATACATCAAGAGCAGCCAATAGAGCAGAGTACAAAAAACAACCGTTGCGTCGAGTAAAGAGACAAGCTGCTTTTTCCAATACCTGAAGCTCGTAAGACAGAATGCGCAGATGCACACATCAATGAGCGATTGTGGGGCAAGCAGAACACAGGAGGTCAACTGAGAGAGAGAGAGAGAGGGAGAGATATACAGCAGAACCACCAAATATGGTATCGGCAGGACAAGACAGCATTTACGTAGCAAGGGAATGCAACAGCAAGCCGTGGAAACAAAGAGGGGACGTCGCTGACTGCAAAAAACCGGAAAGTGTGCATATGCTTAATGGTCTAAACGTTGGCAGCAAATCGTCGATGTCGGGCAGATTGCACTGAATGAAGCAGCCAAGTTAACGCACAGCAAGCCAGTTAGAGCAGCAGTGCGTCATAAGCCGATGTCTTTGCACAGACAATGCGGCATATACATGTATATACAGCTCTGTATATGTAAGCTGCTCGGCACGCTGTACGACTTGCGCACTGCGCCCCTTCGTATGCAAACGCATTGCTCCTCAGGTGGTGGGACACTGCGTTGGACTTCCGTGGTACAGAAGCTCGCGGCATTTGGCGCGGATTAACGATCGTCTCAGCCTTGGCTGCAGGCTCTTTTCTTTTCGGCATCCGCATGCGTGGGAATAGCCAGGTGACCCAGTATGACCATTCTGGGCGGAAAGTTCTAAAGATTCGCTCACCCAACATCTCCATCCACGATGTGCGCATCCGGCACTCCGGCCTCCGCGTG